CGCTCGCAACGCTCTTGAAATCATTTCATTTTTGTTGTTTATCAAACATTAAACAAGGACAAGTAATGTTTGCGAGCGTTGCGAGCGTTAAATGGAACGCAGCCTATGATATATATATGATATACATGATATATATACAATATATGATATACATTAATAAAATAATATTAAACGAAACCCGATGGGAAAGTATTTATAAAATTATATGACGAAATCTTGTAAAAAATTTGTATTCTGCAATTACATAGATATATTTACAAAAACCGATGTAATACTACTGATCTTTTATAAAATATTAATAACTGTTTGTGCAATTTATTTTAAAATAGTATTTTGACAAATCATCTTAACGACAGATTTGCCAAATTAAATTTGAAACAAAATTCTCCAATAATCGCACGATCCTGGATCTTTCCATTCGGCTATGGAATTGGTACGGCTAGCATTGAAGATATTAAAAAAACTGAGGGCCCCTAAGGGCCCTAAGAGCTTGGATCGACCGACGGCGGACAGTTCGAATCTCGAACGACATGAATTAATTTAATGCACTGAGGTGACACTTAAAATTTTATAATTACGCTGAGGATGGCTCGAACGGAGCCGAAATGTTTGTAAGATTTGATGTATTATTTTTTAAAATAATATTTTTTATTTTATAATATTTCATTTTACGACGACCGGTTGTTTCTTATGATATTATTTTTACGTATATCGGGTACACGCTAGCACTAGGAGGCAATTCATGATTCGTAATTCGCGATACGTAATTCGCTATCATATGTGATTTGCGAATAGTGTAAAAATATTCGAATTTGCATTTATGATTTCACATTCACGTCAATTCGCCAATAAAGTGGTTTTCTTTACGAAATCAGTCAATTTGTGTATGTATAGTACTGCATTGTTCATCAAGATGTCCATGTATACATTGTCTATTTATATTTATAAAAATTACTCTGGTGAGAAAAATCTTATAGAAAATGAAATAATACGTTAAGTATAATAGCCCTTCTTAATATTTTTGTTACTAGATGGCTTTTAGTGATTACTTATAAAAATATTTGTTTACTGCGTTACGCAGTTTGGTAGAAATTTTAAGTGTCACGGTACTACCCTTGATAATAAAAAATTGAATAGAGAAACTATACAAAAATGAAAAAGCAACATATGTGATGAGATTTAAATATCCGCATATATACACATCTGGAAATACGCCTACGATGTAGCATCATGAGACAACCCTTGTGTTCGCTTTAATGCTTTTGAATTCATTTTGTTCTTATTGTTTCTCAAATGTCAAACAAGGATAAATGACGCTCTTAGACGCTATGGATATCAAACCGAAAGCAGAAAACATGTCATCAATTTCGTTTAGACACATTTTTCGGAACGATGCTGATTGGCTGTCCCCACCATTTCATTTTTCCAATTTTTCCGTTTACTAATGGGACGACACCCTTAAGTATTGTTACGCGCGATCGGAGAGTCGTTTCTACCATGCGATCGGCGAAGAGTGTGAATGACATATAATGTTATAAGATGCAATAAGATTAAATGTTATCTCTTGTAAAAAAAATTTTCATAATAACTCATAAAATTTTCAAGAATGTTTGTCATATTTTAAAGGACCTCGATTTATATCTATGTAAAAGTACCCCCGGTCAAATTGCTTCGTTTTGAAATATGTTGTAGTTTTTCATAATTCTGAACAAATTAATGTTACCATTGCCACTTTTACCTAAAGTCAACAATTAAAGAGACATAGCTTGACGTCATAGAATCTGAGTATCTATCATATTATATCTCCTTAACATAACTAGATATGATATAAACATCTAGCGCGCACGCACACACACATACACACACACACACACACACGCGTATGTATATTACTCGTAAGACTTAATCTTAATCTTAATCTTTTGAAACGACCTGCCCTTGATGCACGGATAGCTCGCCGGACTACTGTAGACACAGGGATCGCGGGCAGGCTCGGGAGAGAGAGTGCGCAACGAGTAGCGTGAGAAATCACTCGTGAAATTACAGTGTAACTAAAATTTATTCATTGTTAAATCATTAAAAGATAAAGAGAACAAAACGTTGTGACAAAATAAAAAAAAAAGAAAGAGTCTCGACTACATAAAAGAAATAAGTAAAAGAACGTAAAAGACCGCAGTACAGTCGCACCGATAATCAACCGCTGAGTTATGTTCGCGTTCGAACCAGCGCGCCGGATATCTCACGCAACGCTCGCAATGAAGTTCATGCGTACTCGGCGTACGCGCACGCGGTAGCGGCGTGATACGATTGCGTGCTTGTGCACGCGCGCTCGATCTCGCTGGCGCTTTAAATCCCGCGTTTATGGTAAAGGTCCCGGCGCGTAAACAATTTAAAGGTCCGGCGCGACGGTACTAGATGTTTATACCATATATATTCCTATTATCCCACATAAAAGAAAGCATCTAGTTATCTTAAGAAGATATGATAGTTATACTCACAAGGGAACACACGGAAGTGTCCCCTCCGATTTCAATAAGCTTTGGATATGTTAAACTACAGACAAAAATAAGATACTACAATTTTTGCATTCGTGCTGAGTCGCACGTTAAGGG